GAGGAGGGGAGAGGAAAAGGGAGAAGACTCATGAAACACTTGTCGCATCCATCCGCATCCATTCCCCTGATCATGAAGTAGCCTCGTAAACTTCTATTTCATTTTTGTAGAGTAAGAACGATGCCCCCCCCCCGCCAATGGTGTAGACTCGCACTAGGCCATGGTCGGCAAATCACATAGTGCAGGGGGGTAATGAACGGGAAATCTAAGGGCTCCTTTAAACCTGACTTTTAGCTTTTGAAGAGAGTCATAAGTGCAACAATCAAGCCCCTAGTCCGCGACATGGAGTGGTCTAAATCTGACAGGATTGTTTCATCACCCTCTAATCAGATGAGGGTCAATACCCGTGAATATTTGCAGACGACGTCTGGACGGATACGTCTTCGAGACGTTGATCTTTACAAAATTGGGCTGTTTGTTTGATGTGATCTTTCAGCAGACGCTGACTTTTCCTCGGTCTCAGACCAGGGGGTGTTCCACAAGGATCTTAAGTTGAACTTATCTCTAAGTTGGACTTAACAATTATGGAAAGCCGTTAACATCTATACAAATATTTTGTAAAAGCTACTTTAAAAGGCATAACATGTTGATTCAAATCCTTCATGCTTTTTATAATCAAGGAGATTTCAAGTTCTTGATGTGGAATTTATAAACAGTCTAAAATACTATAATTTTTGCTTTAGAATATACTTTATTTTAAGGCTACAAATGGCTCTCCATAATTTTCAAGTCAAACTTAGAGTTAAGTTCGACTAAGGATCTTTGTGAAACACCCCCCCCCCCCCCCCCCTGGAGAAGAGATTTTGATTTAACCATATTGAACATTTATTTTGAAGTGATCTTTCTCTGGACTCTAGTCTGTTCTTAATCTAAGGCAAGATAAAAGACTTTGACTCCAACCAAATTGTACAGTTTGTTTGATGTGATCATTCACCGGCCTCTGGTCTTTCTTCGATCAGAGACAGAAGAATAGGTTTTTTTTACAACCAAATTGAGCTTTCTGACATTGAAAATTGACATTTTCCTGTTCGAAGACAGGTGAAGCAAATTCGTTTTTAACCAAATGTAGTCGTTTGGTTGATGTGGTCCTTCACCGGATATCGCTACTCTACTCTAACATTTTATCCTTGATCGAAGAGAGGAGCGGATTTTGTTGTCAAAGGAGACACTGTTGGAAGACATATTGGTATTTGTCTGAAGTATTACATGTATTGGCTACCATGAACATTCTATACAGGCGGAATATATTATCATAATCATTTTGGAAGAATGTATTTGATCGGTTCTTAGTTTGCATGTGTTACAAAATAGCACCGAATATCCGCATATCTCATAAACATGCAGAAGTCCCTTTTTGTGCACGTAAGACAATTTACTTTCAATGTGAAGGAGATGCTTTATAAATAAACATTAATGTCTTCCTTTGGTAAAACTTCACCCGTGCATCGTGACGGAGATGAGAGTAAACATGGAACACACCGTTTATTTGAATGAATAATTATTACGAAACTTTTATAAGAATTTATCTATTCATCTTGGTGGGTGTACGATAGGCCTGTTTCATGTACTCCTCGTGAACAAAAATAGCTCTTGCTGACTAAGATGCTTGCCAGAGGCCTGCAGACAAAGCAACAGTTGATGTCTGCACTTCCGCGCTTCGCATCGACTTTCGACGCAAGAGCCTTACGCGTATCTTTCTTTAATATCGGAATCGATATTTCGCATTACGATAACCAATTGGCTTTTAGCGTATATGCGGCATCAGTGAAAAGGGACACATTGTTTATACTATCACTGCGACTGCCAAGCTATTCGATCTATCATTCGTAATATGACTTCATTTGCAAGATTGCAAGATTCTCGGTATGTGGATATAATATCTACTACACCCTGTATCTTCATGATTTTTATCAGCCAAATCACACAAATCAGCTGCATGTCTAATATCCATGATCTAAGCGAACAAGGGTACTTGACTATACTCGAACCCTAGGTAATGGATCAAAACATGACTTTCATAAGTTACAAGGGTAGGGCATCGATACAATGTTTGTTGTAATTGCTACTTTTTACTCATCTTCTTTTTGTAAGATCTCATTTTGCTTGATCCACTCTCGTATACATTATCGATGTCTCAAATCGGAATTAGCGAGAAACAGTTCACCGATGATACGCTTTTATAAGCAGCCCCTCGGAAATGATGACTTGATACCATATTTTACGCCCAGATCACCCCCGGTGAGAAGAGGCACGCTTCCTCCATAATTGACAGTTTTCCAGAGCCAAGGACTACCTGGTATTCCTCAGCAACCGCCAAGGCACGATGTCTTTTAATGGGATTACGCCCGGAGGCGTATCTTAACTACCGCGGATTTTTCACGCGTCGATATTCATATTTCTCACCCTACCACTCTGACGGGGCATATCATGCGCGGGAAAAAATAGAAATGCAATTGAATCGGATCCGTGGCCCCTAAGGAAATAGGGGTATCACTTTGGTCGAATGGGGTATTTGGTGTCTTTCCTCCGACATCGGACTCTCACTTACCTTCACCGTGGCCGGTAGACGTCCCGACCCCTTGGGGAAAAGGGGCAAATGAATCTAGATGTAATCGCGCAGAGGTAGAGAACCCATCATGATTCGTGATCATCATCTTCAACTTTTAACATTTTCGCAAAAGACATAAAGACTACATTTTCTTGCAACAGTACAAGTGAGAGAACTAGAGTGTGTGACAAGTGTAATATTTACAAGGCATGTTTTAAACATGTACCTTTCATGTCGCATTGATGAAAAAGGAAAAAGAAATGACAACAAAAAGTGCAGTTGTCCCTAGCCTCGACGTTTCAAAACGTAATAATTGGAAAATGATTGCTAGTATTCTTTATCAAGCTTTTCATTTCTATTTCTTTCCACCGATCCTCTGAATCACTACGTGCATCATACAACATAAATCGAAATATTGTTCAGAAAGTGCATGGATTGGCAACGTATTGATTGCAGGTTATTAACAATACATATTTTTAAGTGCACCTGGAACTAGCTACACCGGAACCGCGAGTTAAACAGCAACCGGGAAATGAATACTCAATCGCATTGTATTTGGTGAATCCCCAATAAACCCAAAGGTATTGAATCAGATGATATTAAATTTCACGCTGTCTGCGTCAGTGTATGATTCAGTGCTTTAAAGAAAAAAATAAGATACTGTCAGTTTATACCTTAGTCAAACCTCCAGTGTTTCCGAACCCGAACCACCGATTTCTGGCCATTCGGCGTGGTGTATTGTTTCAGTTTAGTTTTGGATTCGTCTGTGTTATTGGGATATTTTTCCAAAACATTAAAATGTTTACCGAATATTTAAAAAAAACCTTCGGTCACACGACCAACCCGACTCTAACCCACCGATTCTTGTTTATTGTGGGCAATGCGATTACTTGTTCGGTCTCCTTTCGGTCACGTGGCGTCCTGATATCGGGCCCAAAGTTGTGACTGGGGTATTTGCGAAAGTTAATGCATAAAAGGCGATTATTGAATATCATGCAGTTTCAGATTGATAACTGCAGGAGGGACAAAGAGGTAAAAGAAGGAGAGCTAAACGGTAAAGAATTGGGAGAGATGGACGAACTATTTCTATCTTTATGAAGAAATGAGTCCATTTCCATTTAAAAGGGCATAGATTCAAGGGTTTGACCATGGTTTTAACGAACCGAGATCCGTAATACAAAGCCTTTTTTTTAGGAGCTTTTGTTCTGTTCTGTATATACACATATGCACACACATGTACACAATACATAAACACACATACACACACACATATATCTTTCTCTCTCTCTCTCTCTCTCTCTCTCTCTCTTTATGGTTAGAGCGATCTCAGGCTTTTTAGATCGAAAGATAAACACCAACAAACACTAAAGTGGCTTTTTCCATCAGCTAATTAATTTGCGCCATTTATAATTAATTCCTCGTTCTCTACTCTGTGACCAATGAAGCCGAGAACGAGGAATAATCGGATAACAATGAAGGAATTTATTTTACTATTTTGTTTACGGTTGAGGTAAATTGAAACAACTATTTTGCTGTTTGGCTGAGAAATAAAAACTGTATTGTACACGTAACCGAGGTTGGAACTAGAGACAAGAAAGGTTAATCATTTTGTGTTAGATAAATATCTCATGAAAGTGACCAGTAAAAAAAAACGTTAAACAGCAATTGAAACACTTGTAATGAGTTCATTTGGTTGAAACAGAAAAACAAGATAAGCAGAATGGCGAAACTTTGAAATGAATCAGACCAATAATGAGAAAGTTATAATCGTTTAATGAGATCGCTAAGCCTATGTGGATCACAAATTGACAGTTTGTTCAGTGGATTGTGACGTAGTCACGGATAACTGACCCGTTTATTTGTTGGAAAAAATGGGAAACTGTCCGATACTACATCAGAGAGACATTTGAAGAGCCCATACCATTACTGATTACACTTTTAATTCTTAAAATTGAAATTTTTCTCACTTTTTGTCCGATTCCGAAAAGACTTTCACGAGTCTACTTTTAATTATTTGTTTCCCTTTCCTCTAATTAAGTGTAGTTTGTATCAATGTCGGATTCCTCTTTAAACTCTCTGCAATACATGTTTTTACAGATTATATTATCGATTAAGTTCTTCTCAATGCAAAATCTAAATGTTTTAGTTTATTTTATAGTAATAAGACCCTCCTTGGTGGAAAGGAAAGTCAAGAAAACTAAGAAAGCGTATATGTTCAATTTGCCATGTGTCACTGAAACAAGTCACTGAACTCAAAAACTGTTCTTGATATTAAATCTAGGAATAACTGAGGTAAACTGTATCTTCAAAAATTTTAGCGAAAGCAATGCTAATACATAAGTCCTCATTAAAAAAAAAATCATGTTTATCACCTAACACTGGAGTAAAATATGCTTTGATACAGCTAGGAAGAAAATCACGATACTATTACATATTTCGTTTCTTTCATTAGGTATTACTGGGGTAAATCGCATCATCGACAAAGATGGCGATACCATTGCCAACGTGAGCGTCTTCTCAATCCAGAGAAACAGTTCGTCCGACATCGACTACGTCATCGATCCCGTCGCCATCTTCCAGGAACGCAACGGTACCACGGTAAGTCGAATTATCTTTTTAATGATCAAGGGTAATTCTTGAATGATCAGTCATTTCATGATGATACCAATTAGTTTGTATTATACCTGTTTATATTCTTGTGTATTTATCTATTTTGTTTTTGCTGCTGGTTATTATTTTATTCTTATCAAGCAGGGCCTCGTGGAAGACCACCAAATTTCTGATATGTGCCACCGTGTATAAATATCAGAAATAAATAAATGTGAAGTGTTGCCAATTTCATGTCCATTTAAAATTGATATGGTTTCCGTTCGCAAGTTCGTGCTTTGGTGTATTTTTTTCGGGGGGGATGTTTTTTTTTTTTAATTCAGTAAGTAAAGAAAAGACAGGTAACGGCAGGTAACCCTTATGAAGATGACACACATTTTCTAAAGGCCAAACTGATCAACTGTTTTGATCTTATAACTGAACAAACTGAAGCCATTTGGAAGTGAGACCGAATTGTTTGTTCACATCGCCCAGATAATTTAATGTCCATGAATATTAGATTACTATGACATATTTCTCATCCAACGGCATTTCTGTTTAAAAAAAATGGAAATGCTTTATAAATGAATACAAACGCTCGGTAAAAGTACAATTTTGCTGCGTTTTGAAGGGAATTATGAATTCATATTCGTGGCTGAACGAGCTCACCTGACAATCTAGACCTACATTCATAGGGTATGTTACAAGTGCAAGAACATATTTCGCACGCTACTTCAATCAATCATGGGCGATATTACTGTCTCTTTGAAGTATAGCGGTTTGGATTCAACCCTATTTTGTCAGTTGAACGGGTTAATTGACAGCAAGGCCATTTTAATGTATTGTAATAATATGAATAAGACGAGGTATCATTATGTGCTGCAAGGCATATTATGTTTGATATTTGGTTCATACTTTAACGGCATCATTTCACAATTCTTTTGGTGATACCCACAATGTTGTTTGTTTCATGTTGGGCTTTTTGTATCAAATATAAATACGTACGTAAATTTTGTAAATACAAATAGACCAATACTTTAAAAAAATTAAAACAAACATTTTTTAAAATGGCGCAGCTTTTCCTAGAGATCCGGATCGTATCATGTACCCTCTTGTCATCGATTGGATATGCCCTCGTCAGATCTTTATAATGATTTTGGTCCTTCAACATAAACAAGAGCAAATGCTTGCAAAGTATTGCGTGAGATATACCAAATATTGATCGCATTTAGAAAGCTGTCCAACTCACAAAGATTTGATTGAAGGACTATCTAAAGCTGTACTTTGCTTTAAGGGTCAACAAGAAGCCACATTTCATCATCATTGCTCATGGTGTCTTAGACTTTCCTCCTTATTGACCTTGAACTTTGGACTTTCCCGATCGCTCACGTTGATACATCTTCCTTATGTTTTGTGGCGCCTCCTTACAACTGCACCAAGCGATCACCATTCTGTTGTAAGCCAATAACGATGTCGTTAAAATGGCGTGAGAAAAATGACTGTTACAAAGGTGGTGTATGTTAAAAATTAAAACGCATTTGGCAGTGCTTTCGTTTTTAAATGACATTATCGTGCTTCTACTGTGAAAGATAATAATACTTAATCTGATTATTAAAAAGAGAAGAAGATGCATTTACAGTAGATCGAACTTGCAGGCCCTGACATTTGGAACGCAATAATAATTCTTTATAAATTAGCACCTACCCCTTAACGAATGGCAGACATTGGTGTGTTTCCACGCACGCATATTCAGACCAAATGTATAAACAAATCAATATTTCATACGGCTGGAAAATATATTTTAAATGCGGCAATCTGAAAGCCTGCATTGTTCCAAATGGTCGATTAATGAGTTAATGGCAAAGAACTTCTATTTGTATACGCAATATCACATTATCGTTGTTCAAGGGTTATTAATCATGTAAACGGCAATGCGTCAATGATTATTGCTTTTCCAAACAATGGCGTGTCCCACAGGGCTACTTATTATGACCAATCGTGTTTCTCCTTCAATTCCAACGATATTACCTGAAAGTAAACATTGAACAATGTACCTGCCAAGCGGCACAAGCGACAAATTGATGGTATAAATGATGAGAGTGCAAATCGTATCATCAGTATAAAATAGGTATCAATTTACTCCATTTACATTCACAATTATCGATGCCAAATAAAGATATAATGAACCTGTGGCTGATGGATCATAAATTGAAATGTTTTGTATTAGCTCAAAGTACGAATACTTGCAAACTCTCAGATGGGATATGAGTTGGCACGCATGGACCTGTAAATCAAGCTACATTTGAATAGTTTGTGCTATATCGGTATGTTTTGCAAGAGCCTGATTGGATCATCGAATACAGATGCCAGATCTCTGGAGGAATCCTTGAAAACAGATGCTAATCATTTGAAAGGATGCCTTAATCATCTTGTTTTCAATATAATTTGCGACATTACACGAGGGCAGAGTTATGCAGGAGAGTGGTATGAATCGATGACGGCAATATGTTTGACATTCAGTTTAAATGATGAAATTCAAAGAACTGCTATTACTACTAGTAGATCTTCGTAGAACCTGAACCGTTTTCATCTTTACCAGCTTTGTCGTTTACGATCGTATGTGTTGATTTCCCTGGTGGTTATTCCAATTCCTTGAAAGTCCCTTTCTAAGCAGTTGCGTCGTTTTCGGTTCAATATTCGTTTCTTCTTTTACTATTTAATACATTGGTTGCTATTTATATCCTTAGGCTTTGATTTTTGAACGTTTCAGTTTCGTCTTGTTTGGTTTATCATGTTTATTATTATTTCTTGCTACACTTGTGTCATTCCTTGAAATTCAATTTCTAAGCACGGCAGATGAGGCTTGTTCTGTTAAACGGTTGTATTCCTACCTTTTTGATACAGTGGTTTCGGTTTGAATCCTTGTAATTCGATATCACAATACTTTTGTTTCGCCTTGTTGCGTTTATCGTTTTCATTTCTCCATTCTTGTGTAGTGGTTAATATTTTAGTTATTGCAGTTAGATTTCTGAGCAGTTAACTTTGGCCTTGTCTTATTTATTGTCTTCATGTTTATCTTCTGGTACACTAATTTCTGACTCATTCCTTGGAATTCAATTTCAAAGCATTTAGTTTGTTGCGTTGTTGCGTTTATCGTTTGCACTCTTAATAAGCGTTTTCTTATTTTGTTAACGTTTTTAGTACCCTGTTGCTGTTTTATGTACAATGGTTGCTGCATCATTCCTTGAATATCAATTTCTGAACATGTCAGTTTCGCCTTGTTGCCTTCGTCGATTGACCTTCTTGATTTACTCATCGCTTCTCCATCACAAATGGATTTCACAGACTAAACATTTCGGGCAAAACGAGCTCCGTTGATTATTTGTCCCATATACAACATGCAATTATGATTAGGAATCTCAATGTTCTGATGATTGCCTAGATACGTAAACAGATTAAACCGTACCATCTGCCATCGGTATTGAGTTAATGTCGGCGAGTACCCGACCCTAATAACTCACATGCCCGGTTGTCATCGGGAGAAACAGAGATAAATAGTGCAAGCTGAAGGAAAATGGCGGTCTGTCTGTGTGTGTGTGTAGATCATTACGCAAGTGGCAAGAATCTTAACCCAAGCGTAAACAATAAATTCATCTTTCCTTCGCCGTGTCCACTGGCAGGTTGTTTTAGTGATGCGTAAATAATGTCTTCCACGTCGCTGACCATCATCATATAACGATGAATTATCTATATTTTCCGGTCGACCTATTACTAAAGATTTATCGCAGTTTTCTGTTTTCTTGCAGGGCTTAGTATAGGTTCGGCTGAATTTTATTGCAGCAGATGTGTTATATTATTATATAATTATATCAAAATTATTATATAGATCTTTATACCATGCCTTTTGATGTTTCGGCATTTCAAGATGACCACGGTCATTACTAGTTCATTCTTTAGATGTTTCTTTTTAGCTTTCCTTTTGACAACTTTTCACCTTTTACGTCGTGTCACCAAGTACGTATAATTTATTTTACTGAAACAAACACATAAGGTCTCACATATCACTATATTCTATAGTCTTTTTACCAAATGTCTCAAAGTGTGTTATAGTGCAATGTTTACATGGTTTAACTCATAGCCTGTCATAAGGCTGCATGCACGCTATCGTTATAGTGCTTTGTACATGCGAGAGAGCCACCGCTTGAGTGCCATGTGCGTGCAAGGGCGCATTCGTAATAGCAGTTATTGATCATGCCTATTGGACTGTGCTGTGTGTTTTGCAGTCGCTATTCGTAGAACCATAGCGTTAATCAGATTATCTCAAAAACAACCTGGCAAGGAGGATTTGGGATTTGGCACAATGGGGATTAGTCCTGTGGCATGATAAGAGTTAAAGGCATCACTTAACAATGTTAAATCTAAGATGCACGGCCCTGCTTCAAAAAAGTAAAAATCTTTGAGTAACCGGTTTTACCATACTCGTTTTCCCTAATAGACTGTAGTGTTATGAAAACTGTTAGGAAAACGCAACATTTGGTTTCGATTTATAATCATAAATATCTTGATAATCAGACAGGTGATCGGCTTGTAAAGGTCATTGGGTTCCTGACTGACCTAAAGGTTCGTAATTATCATTGCAGCATGAGCTAGATTTTGTTTCAGAATCTGAGACAAAGTTACCGGATCCCTTTAAATATTTTATTATGTAACACTTTAAAAGCATTTCATCAAAGTTAGAAAAACTATACCCGTGATAAAAAAGTTGAGATTTTGAACTGTTTCATTTGCCCACAGAAACCCATGGCAAGACGTTACGTAATCATGCTAATATATTCTGAAAAGCTTTATAACTTTCTTGTCTGGATACTTTAAAAGAAAAATCCATTGCCAATCAATATTTATAACACATTGACATCCTGAATCAAAGCTACATGTACCTGATTTTTCAGGAAACGTTTTTCGCAAATCTCACGGAACATTTCTCGATACAGGAAGATTGGTTGAACCTAAGG